TTCCAAGTCCCACAGCCTTGTCCCACAAGGAGGTGGGGCATCGTGGTGAGCAAGGCTCCACAGATTCCAGAAAAAACGTGACAAAGAAATGCCTCCTTTTCTGTACGAAGGCGAGCTAAACAGCGGCCGTTGTGGGGCCTACCCTGTTTGAAGGGTGTGTACAGCCAAGGGAAGTGAAAACAGTACAGAGTCGAGTGGTGGCCCGAGAGGAGGCCGAGGGAAGGCCAAGGATGATGGCAAAAGAAGCGGGACGGACGGCTTGGGTAGAGCATCCAGGAGGAGCTAGAGGGGTAGTTTCAAGGGTCCATTCCATTCAATATGCGAGGCAAGAAAAGCACAGTGACGGATGTGCGAATCAATGCCTCGGAGGTGCCATAAAAACTCCATAAAAGTTGTCGACGGCGCCGTGCCCGGCCCCGTTTTCGCCAACACTGGAGGTGGATACGCGAGAATGGCGACGAAACAGCAACACGGCCTTGCATCTTGGAAAAAGCTACATCATCATGTTGTTTGCGCTGATAGGTTGACAGACAGATGGTTTGAACAGGGCCGCTAGTCCCCTTTTGCCGCAAAATGCATTTCGGTACTTGTGCCTCTGAGGGCCCCCTATCGTAGTTCCATGTTGATATGTCTCGACCTCTCTTGCTCGGCTTAAGCGTGGTTGGAGAGTGGGAAATTGTGCGGCTTTTCCAAGCCAACAGGAAACGCAAGGAAACTTGTAGATAACAGAACTAGCATCCTTGTCGTCATAGTAGGGTCAAGCCGGCCGCGAAAGGGACACCGGCCGTTTCGATTCTGCAGCGGCGAGGTTTCGGCGTCGGCCGTGAGCAGCGAAAAAAAGGTCGACCAGAAAGGACGGTGACGAATGAAGGGAACCGGACCCGTCGCCGATAGCGACGCTGGCACCGACACTCGTCTCTATGAACTCACGATGGCCGTGCTATACAGGTGCCGTCTGGCTCATCAACGCCGTCATCGTGCGTACCTAGCAAACAGGCCAAAGTGAAGGGGATACCGGCCAGCAGTGGTGAATTCAAGCGATGGCAAGGGCAGTGCGTGAGGTGGTGGCTACAGGGGGTCCACGGGTCCCTGGCAGGCAGAGACAGGCGGTGGGGGCTGGTGTGGTGTTGGTGATGTGCGAACAGCCAATAAATTCCCCGGCATCTTGGCAGCCGCAAGCACATGTGAAGGAAGAGGCGTTTTTTGCTGACGGGGTTGGGCTGGCGCTGCAGGATGCAGGGCGCATGGCGGCACGACGGGCGGCTTGGATCTGGTGTAACGGCGTCAAGCGATAACCAGGACCCCAAACATGACCGAATGCCGTACCCTCGCAGCCATCTTCTCCCATAGCCACCGCACAACCCCTCAGCGCCCAAGCGAGCGGGCGGGCGGGCAGGCAGGCAAGCAGGCAGACGTCTGCCGGTGTGCGCCATGTTGCTGCAGCATGAGGTCGTGATGCTGTAGGTGACAGTCACGCTTGGCTTGGCGGGTCTTGGGTTGGCTTTGAGATGCCCGCTCGATGCCGCTGGATATACCAAGCAATCTCCCTACCGGTGAGCAGTCGTCTGGTGTCCTTCGCCAGTACAGCCCGACTCAGATCTTGGCCAGGGTACATGTCGTAGCGCGACTGGCGACTCATGCAGATGAGGGGTCTGACGTCTCGAAGATACCCAATGGCTGGTGCTGAATGCATGCTACCAGTGTTTCGCTCAGAGGAGACCCTTATCGAATGGCTCCCTGAATGCCCTTGATGCCGTCAGCCTTGATGGCATCCATCAGAGATGACGTTCCACAAAAGCGAGTACTCGTTGTACCTTGATTGCACGAGTCGTCGTTGTGCCAAGTCCTGCACGATGAAGGGTCCCACATGATGGGGTCCATTTATGCTCCGCTCTGACGTCACGGGCGAAAGGGGCCTGCCGCGGGGGCTTCTAACCAGTCAGAGGCTACCGTCCCAGGTTGCACCTGCAACATGAACATGTCGTTAGCGCGTCGGTCCGAACGATTCACCGGGCAGGCGAGACGGAGGAACAGGGGTGCCACCAAAAAACTCGCCCTCATTCGCTCTTGCTTGAGGCAGCCCCAGGGGAAAAACTGCCCTCATTCGCTGCGTCTCCGTCTCACCGTGTCAAGTGTACCCCCCCGGCCGATCGCCGGGGCCGGTAGCCTTCGGGCAACGGACGTCGACCGCTCACACCAGCACCACAATTCTTCGTATCCTCAGCTCAGAATCCACGCTCCACGCGCTGACCCAGCAATCTGGCCTCCCAAGCATGTCACCGATGGAATACGACCTGACATTCGCCAGACCTGTCGCCATTGCCACCGCCTGTTGTGGAAAAACAGCACACGAGAGTGTGAGGGGATAAAAAAAAAAAAGAAGAAGAAAAAAGGAAAAGGCTGAGGCCTACGCACTCGGCACAGAAAATAACCCATCAAGTCACAGAGACAACAGGTTCATGATAGGCGCAATACAGATGCAAGAGTTCAGAAGCAGCCATGTCAGACTTTGAGCACGCCCACCTATCCGTCAAGGTGTATGGTTGGATCACCCAGGCAGGCAGGCGGGCAGTCAACTGTGCGGGCATTTAGTGTGTCCTCTGCAACCCAAAACGTTTGGTTGCCCGGTTTTCCTGCTTGGCACATGGAACACCGGCTGACAGGTGAAAGTTGATCGACATCTCATCTTTGAACTTGACAGATTGACACCGATTGCCCCTCGGGACTTCCACCTCCAGCTTAATCTGGCGACTGGCAAGCCCGGGCACGTCGTAGTGGCTGCACACCGACAGCTCTCACAGCCCGCCGCCGACTCGATGTCATGTCGATCAATCCTGAAAGGGAGGGCATCTTCAGGTGCCAGCTGCCGCCGTGGCATGCTTTTCTTTCAGGGTTGTGAGGAACGCCTTTCGCTAGGCACGCTTGCCGCCGGCCATTCTTCGAGTTAGCGCACCGACCGCATCCGTCTTAGAAAATGATGACCTCCTGATCGACCTAGCTGCCGCTTTCCGGGTCGCCAGGCCGAAAAATCACGACATTCTACCTTTTGCTAGCTGTGTCAACTTGAGCTACGCCATCGGGCATCCACGCCGAGCCTCCCCGTCCTGCATGCCCAGTTCACTGTGGTAATGGCGTTTTCGGGGCGCGTCGACGACATATCTCGTCACACCGTTGTTCCTATCCTTCCAGCCGGTTCGTCTGAAGCATGTTGCTTCAGTGTTGACTCTCCCTCATCACAACTACGACGACAAATCGCGCTTGTTTTGGGGTACCCGCGCCTTCCCCTGCACCCCAGCAACGACCATGTTGAAATCAGCAGCTTTGACCGTCATCAACCCTGGGCACACTACAGACGTCTATCAAAGCGCGCAATACACAAAAAGAAACATGGCTACCGGTCGCCTCGAACAAACTCCACCACAATCCACAGAAGCCCACACTATATACTACAAAGTATGGGCCTCGGACGAGCGATCACGTCGTCTCGCCTTAAACTGGAGCGAGCCCAGAACCTCCACGATCGAGACATGTGGGTAAACTACCCACACCGAAAAAGAGGAGGAGATTGTGACCGATAGAGGAGGGGAAAGTAACTGGCGAAACCGCGCAGGGTGGGTTTCACCTCGGCTGCCTCCCCTTGATGGACGGGGTAGACGGGGTAGGCATGGTGGTGGGCATGGTGGTGGGCACGACGCAGAAGTCCCATGCGAATGAGCGAAGAGACAGAGAGGGTGGGAGGCAGCCGATGACCTCGAGGGCCATGAGCGACCGCTGTTTGCTCGTCGAATGTCGGCGGTCTCCGATCCTTTCTTTCTTTCCCTTGTGAGACTGTAGAGGTCAACGACCCAGGGTCTACACTCTAGCATCGGTTGCGGGCACCTCAGAACCTCAAACACTTAGCTCAGTCTTCTCCTCCTGAGCTGTAGTGATTCGGGCTTCGCAAAGTTAGTGTCGACGCGCGAAAGTCTGCGGCACGCTCACAGAGAATCGCAAGATCACTCCAGACCTCGACCATAACGACACGAAGCTGGCGGTGTCTATTGCCAAGCTGTATCACTACCAAAGGCGTGACGAATGTTCACCCGCATGTCCTGGGCACGATAAACCCCAGTGAACCCGCATTCAGGAGGCGCATACTCACCATGCAAATCATCGTGTCGTCGCATGCCCCCCTCCTCTTCACGAGAACCGTCCCCTCCTTTTCCCCCGCCTTTCTTGGCCCAGCACAACACAACGGCCTTTTCAGAGAAGCGCGGATCATCCACAATTAAATTCGCCGGGTTTCCTCTTTGCGCAGTTCCGGGTGGCATTATTGGACGACTTCTTGGGTTCACGCGATGGGGTCGGCCCCAAACGAACCGAAATGCTACGGATCCTTGTGATGCAATCTTGCCGTTAGAATCCC